TGTTGTTATTTAGATATAGTCTAACAAGTATCTATGAATATATCTAGATACTTAATATTTTTTGAAAATATATATGTGTATATTTATGCACATACACACATACATACACACACATACATACAGCATCTGCTTATATTAGTCATTTATATATATAACGTGACAAATTTAATTTTTCCTAGTGTTTTTTCTATAATATGTATTGGAATATTAATAAACAAGTGATAATGTTGCAGTTATCTTGTGTGTCCCAAATATCTAATCATATGTTTAAGATATTAATCATAGTCTAATAATAATTATGAAATAGATAACAATAGATAAAATTTGACTTTACTACACAAAACACTGTCTTAATCCTCATCAAATGTATAAATTAATCAAGTAGTAGTAATCATATAAAAGAAAATTTTCAAATTTTCATGAATTCTGTGAATTTTGTCACAACGCTTCTTTAATGACCATTAAACAATGATGTTATATCATAATTATGTAAGTCCGCCATCAATTTCAAATGTAACAATTTAGCAAAATGCATATTAATGATATAATTTTTATATGCATTGTTAAGTAAAATCACAATTTTGTTAAGTAAAATAGCTTTCCGATTAGTATCAAACATTAAACTTCCAGATTGTATTACATATAATTCCAATGTCGCTTTGATTGATATTCCAATAAGATCAGGAATGAAAATCAAATATTGATCCTTAAATTCACTGATATATAATTCAATCTCATTAAAAATAAAACTTTCTAATCCAGTCTTCCCTGATTATCAATACTTGCAAATTATTGCCTAGTTTTGCACAACTTCAACTTAGTGTACCAAAAAATGTCGATATACACTAAATACAACAAAACCCCAATTAATGCAACAAGTCAAATATCATTTTGGTATTCGCCAATTCCAGAATTTCATTAAACAAAACACCTTCCCAATCGCCATTACACCCCATAGGCCTGCCCCCATGAAAGCGTCGCCTCTCCGTAAACTCGCCGGAAATTCCACAGGAACGCCGTCGTCGTCAACGACGGCATCATCCGGGAAGGCGAGGGCTTTAATACAACCGAGCGTAAGCTTCAGATTTGCTTTCCAACTGACCCGGAAGACGATGTCACCATGTGCGCCCGAGCATCTCTCTCTCTCTCTCTCTCTCTATCTTTCGGTCGGACAAGCCGCACGACTCCGCACGATTCCGCTCCGCGGCGCTTCGAGAACGGCGTTCGTGTTCTCGCCCTTCCCAAGGGCCGCGCGGACGAGTTCGGCGAACTGTTCGCGTACGCTGTTAACAATACGCGAACGCCATGCCCGGCGAGCTTAATCGCGACGTCGATCCCGAATCCCCGAGTCACATACACACATACACACGCGCGCACCTACAATTATCAATCGCCGTTTCAGCGACGCGCCGTTCCGCATCGCGAGGTGCCGACCGCGGACACTGCCCGACTGCGTCAACGACTGTGCGAAACGAATCAAGATGGTCGACCGCCACGCTCGTTTCGAACATGGCTGCGTACTAAAAAAACTCTAAGATCTTTCCCCCAGATTTTCCCTAGAATTTTCCCCAGCTCTAGCCAATCAGCACGTTCGTCGAAGTTGACTAGAAACGCCGCGTGCTTCATGGTGGATTTCTGGTAATTTGTTAGATCGCGCAATTTTGTATTTCGCGTGGAATAGCTCAAACGGCTCATTTGGCACAAGATGGCGACCACCGTGAGCGGAGTGTTTCGTGAGGAATTGCGCGATGCAATTTTACGCAGCAAGGTACTCGTCGTGGGTGCCGGCGGCATCGGCTGCGAGATCCTGAAGAACCTGGTCATGTCCGGATTCGCGAACATCGAGATTGTAAGTGTATTATTTTCGGTAGCGAATATAACCTCACTTTTGCGCGCGATTTTCGTGCGCGTACAAGTTGACGTTTATCTCTTTTACTTGTTGTATAAGAATAGTCTTAACAATTCGCGAAAAATTTATGTTCGCGTGAATTATTATTGTCGAACCGATAATTTTTTTTATTTTTTGTGATTTTTTTTTCCATTGTTTTTTATTTTGTTTACTCAGGTGCTGTATTAATTACTTGCTATTTTCAATTTTGCTATATATTTTATTGACCAATTTAGTTTACTTATTATGTTTCAATTTTTATATATATAACATTTTAATTCTCTTTTTTTGGTCATTTTTTATGTGATTGAAGTATTGTATCTTTATAATAGATTATATACAAATAAATCTATTTGCTTTTCAGATTGATTTGGATACAATAGATGTAAGCAATTTAAACAGACAGTTTTTGTTTCAAAAGAAACATGTGGGAAAGTCAAAAGCCAGTGTCGCACGTGAAACCGCATTAACATTTAATCCAGATGTCAAAGTGATACACTACCATGACAGTATTACATCGTAAGTGTATCTTGACATTTTTGTTTTATAAGTCAATATTGATATCACGTTTATTTGACATTCTATGCTTGCAGATCAGAGTTTGGCTTGTCGTTTTTTAAGAGATTTACAGTGGTTTTAAATGCTCTTGACAACAGAGCAGCCAGAAACCATGTAAATCGAATGTGCTTAGCAGCAGATGTACCATTGATCGAATCTGGTACTGCAGGCTATGAAGGTCAGGTAGAACTCATTAAAAAAGGCTTGAGCCAATGCTATGAGTGCACGCCCAAAGCTGCACAAAAAACTTATCCTGGTTGCACAATTCGTAATACACCTAGTGAGCCTATTCACTGCATAGTGTGGGCCAAGCATCTCTTCAAGTAAGCATTATTACAATATATAATCTTTGGGGGGGGGGGGATCAAATATTTTATATTGTTAATCTAACTTTTGTATATTTTGTATATTTTATTTATGCCACTTAGTTTTACGAGCGCGAATAATTATTTTTAATTAATCTATTTTACAACAAACTATTTTACAGCCAATTATTTGGAGAAGAAGATCCTGATCAAGATGTTTCCCCAGATACAGCAGATCCTGAAGCTGCTGGTAATACTTATTATTGTATTGTAATATTGGATAGAGTTGATCAAATGTCTTATTTTTTATCTTATTATAATTTACTTATTACTTATTTATCATTATAAAAATTATATTGTCTTATTTATATATTAACCAATCTCATTTATTTTACTTTGTTACTTTTTTTTATTATTATTATTATTGATAATATCTTAATATAAGTCATGAAGCAATATAGAATGTTTTGGTATTGTAGACGTAGCAGGGGAGGGAGCTTTGCAGACAGAGCACAATGACAAAGGCAATATTGATAGAATTTCCACGCGAGTTTGGGCCCAATCTTGCGACTACGATCCAGAAAAATTATTCACAAAACTTTTTCATGATGATATCAAGTATTTGTTAAGTATGGACAATTTGTGGAAGAAGCGCAGATCACCAACACCATTGAATTGGAGGGAATTACCAGATGGAGGTTTGCCATTGTTCCATAAATATCTTTTTTCTTTCATTTTCTCATCGAGATTAATAATATTTTATCTCTTTTCAAAGTGGCTGGATGTAGTAAAGAGATTAATCAGCCTGGACTGAAGGATCAACAACGCTGGAGCATTTCCAAATGTGGCTCCATTTTCGCCGATTCATTGAAAAATTTGAGCCAGGCATTGAAAGCTTCCCAAGAAAAATCGCTGGACAATCATCTAGTCTGGGATAAGGATGATCAACATGCCATGGATTTCGTCGCCGCGTGTGCTAATATTCGCGCACACATCTTTGGAATTCCTCAAAAGAGCAGATTTGATATCAAATGTTAGTAACAATAATCACTTTGCTTATTTAGTTACTCTTTTCGCATTTTGTTTCTTTTCTTCTTTTGCAAAGTATAATATCTCGTCTTAAACTATTGTTCACGAAATTTAATTCTAATTTTCATGTGAAATTCCTTTTCTCACCTCTAGCAATGGCCGGCAATATAATCCCAGCGATCGCAACTACAAACGCTATAATTGCGGGCATGGTGGTCCTCCACGCTTTCCGAGTTCTTGAAAATAATTTACGGGCCTGTAGATCTGTCTACCTGCGTCTGAAGATGAACCATCGTAATCAGTTGCTGGTACCGGAGAAGGCAGTGAATCCACCCAATCCGCACTGCTATGTCTGCGCGCCTACTCCGCAGGCCGTGCTGGCGGTCGACACTTCCAATATGACTATTAAAGAACTAGAGGAATTAGTGCTCAAAAACAGACTTAACATGATCGCTCCTGATGTCATGATCGATGGCACCGGCGCTGTCGTCATCAGCAGTGAGGAGGGCGAGACAGAGAGCAATAACGACAAAAAATTGGAAGAATTGGGAATCAGAGACGGAGCTATCCTCAAAGTCGACGACTTCCAGCAGAATTATTCGCTGACTGTCTTTGTAGTTTATCGAGAGAAACCTGGTCCGAAAGATAACAATCCACAATTTTTGATACTGGCTGATAAGAATGCACTTAAACCGAAAGATGAGGAGGAAGAACAGAAAGCTTCGACGTCTAATGGACAGGTAAATAATTATTTTCAGAGATATTTCTTGTTGCTTTGTTTTGATTATTTATTTACTAAGAGAAAAATTTTCTGCGCAGAACGTGACCGACATATCAGATACGGCTAAAAAGCGCAAAAACGATTCAGCCGAACCTGAAATTGCAGCCAAGAAACGCAAAGTGGAAATTGATAATAACAAGGATAATAACGATGACATTTGCATTATTGACAATGATGATGAATCCCATGAAAATTTACCCGAATTGAAAAAATCGACCCCAAGGAAACGGAAATTTTCCGAGGACACTGATTGTTTGATAGTGTGTGACGATCACACTGATTAATTTCAAAAGTAAGAAATAAGTTTTATAATTTAACACGGGAATGTTTGAAACTTAGATCGAAGATAAAAAACAGAAGGATAAAAACATTTTTTTTTCTATTGGAAATTATACACAACATTGAGATTTAAATGTAGAAAAATAGTTCTTTCCTTTCGTTTGCTTTTTTTTTTTATTAAGAACATCCAGAATTGACATGATAATTTAATTTTGTATAGTAAATATAAATCATAATATTATATTGTAAGTACTATCATTAAAGAGAAAAACAGATTGTTTTTTTACATATTAAAATTATATTAATTCTTACAAGTCATACATTTTTTTTTACTCTGTTCCTTGTCACATATAGGTTACAATATCTTGTCGCAGTTTTAGCTGTCTCAAATGCAAAAAAACTACAAAAATTTATATACATTTCTTGACCTCTGTAGAAAAGGATCATGTACAACAAAAGTTAAAAAATAAATTTTGAACCTTTTTTTATTGATAAGGCGTTTGGGATATTCTATTGTTAAAATATCAATAAGTAAAATATTAATTGTAAAGTCAGAATTAATTTTTTCTCTTAGCGCAAGGCAAATACTTATCTATCTTATAGTTATACATCTCAAAGTCCACTTTATACCTTCCGTATAGCCGTAGGATTATGTCAGTCGTCAGATTATGAAAGTATTTGCATGTTACATCAAAGTTAGTGATCCCAGCATGAGTGCGCTGCAACCTGGGCAGGTAGATTTTACTTTTGTCCAATTTCAATTTCGACAGAACATAATTGATCTCCCCAAAAGTATATTCGTCTAGTTTCAGGATGAAATTGTAGCTCGTATCGCAGACCGCGCAGTGAGTATAGTATTGGGCCCAGTGATCATCATCGTAATCTGGAGGTTGCTTTAGCAACCATTCCAAAAATTCTCGGAAGCTAGGTACCATTTTTAATCTGTAAAGAGATGCAGGCAGAAACCAATTTTCTTATATAAATTAATACACATTATACATACACACAAAGTAAGAGAATTAGATATGGATTAGGCACATTTGTGCCATGTGTACCTTCTATTTGCCGAAAATACCCTTTGTAGGATGTTGCCACCCATTACTTTGGGACGAAAGAGTTCCGGTCTTGAAAGATAAAGAATCTGACGAGCATAGAGCCAAGATTGCGCGGTATATCTACTGTTGTCCTCAATGCGGTCCCTACAGATAATTCTATATCAGTGTTTTATGCTAATCTCGGTAATAGAATAATCAATAGTTTAAAATTTTATAAAGAAATCTACATTTTTTTTCTTTTAAATAACACTCTAGTTATGGATTCAGAGTATCGACTGTTTTTAATAAAGTGATAAGATCAATTACCTATAGGATGAGACTAGCCGTTGAAACGGATGCCTGACGATAAGTAATTTAAAGACAGTATTATTGGTAGCAAGATATTGAAGATCTCTCAAACTCTTCGGCGATAAAAAGTCCACTTCTCTGCAAATTGCGTGCTCTCGAATTATTAATATAATAATATATTTTGTTTGTAAGAATTAAACAATAGATACGACATACTTAAGCTATAATTTTTTATTAAAATAAAACAATTTTTTCATATTTGAATATATTTGTATGCGTCATATCCGGAACATGGCGTTTTGTGTGTGTACGAGGTCAATATTGTTATTACTTCATTTTCGTGGAAATAAATAAACAAATAAAAAAATTAAAGCAAGGAATATATATATTAATATAATTACTTGTAAAAATTGTGGCTGACTTGACGATTGCTCATGTCGGAAAATAATTTAGTGAAACTGGTGGATGCAACCTTACGGATCCAACAGTATAGCGATCTGTGTTTAGCATTATATAAAAAATGCCTTTTGACAAAAGGAGTTGTCAGATTGTATTTTGCGCAGACGTTCGACACCTGTTTGAGCAGAGTCGTGCTCTTCTATTAATAGGAATATAGAAATACATATAAGAAAGCTGAAATTGATGAACGTCGTCGATTCTTTCGAATTTTATACCTGCAGATCGATAGTTTCACCCTTCAACTCGTCTATCCGCAACATATCGATCTCCGACTCGACATTCTTCTTAATTATCCTATCTGGAATCGAGAACCGAAGTGTTTGCAGCTGACGTTCGGTCGCTATCAGATTGTCTGTTGGTTCTTCTTTCAAGTTAAAACTTTTCTTCATATTAATTAAAACAAAGCAGATGACGAGATAAAACACAACGCACAAACCGCACTTAAAACACGGCGCTTTAACAAACATTGTTAATGCAGTTAAACAGTCTAATGTACAGCCACGTGATACTCAAAATAATTTTGATTCAAAAATTCATCAAAAAATTAAAAATTTGATAACAATTATATATGTAAATTTTGAAAAATAAATATATACATATTTAATTAAAATTTGGAACATTATGTACAATACTCTTTAACTGAAATTTATGAAAGATTAAAAAATAACAGTTGACGGCAAAATAATACCGCAACGCGTGTTAGAGTCCTTCTGTACTTTTGTCTTCTGTCAGGATAAACATATCTGTTTGGGAGATTCCCTCTTTATGTGGGTAGTATGAGAATGATAATTCTTATCTCATCTCTGCTGATTTCTCCTTATTCCATTTATTAAACACTTTTTTCTATGAAATGATTATCAAGTATTGAAAAAACAATAAGGTAAAATAATATATTGATAATTTTCTTATATTATGTATCTTGTAAGTCTTTCGTGTACATACATATACACATACATATGTATATAAACATAAGAATTATTGAATTGAAAAACATCTTATTTTGCTTAAATTCATTGAAAAATAAATCAATCTCGTTTTAGAGATCAAATCATTGCTTTTATATTCATTAAAGATTATCTTGTATAAATATATAATTAAGATGATAATGCACACATACATACACATGCACACTGATCTCATACATACACACGTGTTCAAAAAAAAATTGTAGAAAGAGAAAAAATATTTTATCGTGTAGATTCTTTTTGTAATCAAGAATGAAGATGAAATATTTCGATATTGTTGCATATTTTTTGTGGAAAATTTATAGAAAGAATCGCGAATTTTCAATACTCAATAGTACAAAATTTACTTAGCTAATCTATGCTATTTTGCAATAGAGAAAATGCGTTCACAATCACTATCTATACTCAGGCAGCTCGATGATTAATGACAATTGAAGGCTACTGAAACATGATTCTGTGCATGCGCGCGCGCGCGATTGCCTTTGTGATAATGGATATATAATTGAATCCGTCAATTCCCAAAATTCTTTATAGGCCTGAGAATTTATACATCTTTGGAAAAGATATCAATCTTAATATTTTAATTATTAAAATTCAATTATTAAGATTAAATTTTATTATTTACTTTATATACAATTTAATTTATCTAGGATTTCTCTGAGAAACATTATCTGAATTTTTCAAACGTGTATGATAGATGTCATTGTCCAATTTATCAATTTGTCACTAGTAATAGAGCAAGATTTGGGAATCGACGGGCCGATAGGGAAACAATGGAGTCAATTCTTATCTGCGATCTCTATATCTGTGATGATCGCGGGAAGAGCGATGATCGCTATGCCGACTGTGACGACTGGCCGTTCTCCACAAAAATTCGTCGACGCTCCTCTCATAACTACGTTTCTCCAGTGCTGACGCTGTCGCGCTATAATCCGGAGGCAGTGGCAGGCCATCATAATATCTTAAAAGAAAACATTTTTTTTTTTTTAATCTTACATGCGCCACGGAGTTTTTATTCTATTTAATATCAATAAAATTTCTCATTTCTCATTTTATCTAATTTTTACAGAAGTTATTTAACATATATATCAAATAAATATTTTGATTTAATTTCAATTTTAATTAGAACTTACATGTTGTTTGATTTAATAATATAAATGCTATTGGATCTTTTTACTTGGTTTGTATTCTGCGAGAAAGAGCAACTAACATAAAATATCTAGAAGACAGAATCATTTTTACCTTGGTGGTGGAGGAGGTGGTGGCAAAGTATCGTATGGATGTGGACCGTAAGGCGGCAACGGTGGCAACTGATGTTGCATGGTACGCATGTAATCTGCCACATAAGCCTCTGCAACCGCAGCGACGCCTAGACCAGCTCCATAACCTCTGAAATGATTAATTATTATTATATACAATAAATTACATATAGTTTTACATTTCAAAAGTTATTAAAGTTATGTTAAAATTGTGAAGTTTTGAATGCTATGAATAATCAGTTGGACGGATCGTACTTTGTATAAGGTGAATCTCCTCGATTGAACCACGGTGTGTACCGATATGAGTGATCTCTGGAGCCCCTGTGATCTCCTGCAACGCCGTGGGAACCTCTGGCCAGAGAGGCTAGACGCGATCTCGAAGTCAAGAACAATCTCCGCCCCCGTCCACCTCTTCGTAAAAATCTGGAACTGCTTATGGGTCTCTTATCGCGATAACGCGACGACTTTACGACATGCTTTCCCGCTTCCTTGGACTTACGCAGAATAGGTGTCATCTCGATTCCTGCAGATATATATTCTACTTATATATAGAATATAATTTATCAATATACACGAAATTGTATAATATATTAAAATTGCATATAAATATCTCATCAATTTTATATATTTTTATATTTCTTTTTAGAGTTACCTTCATCTTCTGGAAACAATCTGCACAATTCCTCGGCAACTCTAGGCTCGATTTCCTGACCATCTCGACCGATTTTGACTTGCTTGCCATCATTCCAAGGATTGTACAAATGTAATGTAGCTGTAAACGGTAATTCCTTCCTACAGATCCAATCAACCTTAAATACGCCACCTAAAGCTTTTGCCGATAAGCCAGGAGGCAAAACCTGAAATGCATTAAAAACGTTGTTACTTCCTTTTGTAATTTAAATAATTAATAAGAAAACAATCAATATATATTAAAATTAATCAGTTAATTATAAAAACAAATCATAATTATACTTATATATATTAATTTGTTCATATTTTGTTTGCATACCCAAGAAACTGGTCCAGCATCTCTTCTCGATTCTGTACTAAGTCTCGCAAAGCCAGCGAACTTTCCCGATTCCTTCACGGAAAATACCAGCAACACATTTCGCGACTCTCTATAGGCTTGATTTAGGTTTGCTTCATTCTGTGGCAGCGTGCTCCACACTCCCTTGGCTTTAGACAGTGTCACATTCTCCGCGTTATTGGACTTGATGATGAAAAATCTGGCAAAAGATACTTGAAAACATTTAAAACACTCCAAATTTAGATATATATAATTTTTTGAACAATTCTAAACTTTTTAATATTATATACAAAACGTTTTTTTATCAAATCTCGTTATATCAATGCAACATCTGCAATAGCTATTTATTGTTGTCCCCATTCGAACCTTGCATCTCTAAATAAGTAATTCAACTTGGTGGCATAGTCGTAGCTCTTAGTGGTCCCCTTGCTCTCCTTGGATCTGGCTCGCTTAGGCTCAGGACTGGACGATTTGGAATCTCTACTAGATCTACCGCGCTTGTTTCTGTTTCTCCTGCCGCGCTTGTTGTCACCGCGCGAGGACTTGCTGGAAACTGTGCTGATGGTGGGATGGCTCGAGTTGCTGGTATTAGAACTGCTGGAGGAGACCTCGCTACGAGTGTCATAAGTCTCGTCCGCGGCAATCCTCAACTCGTCGCCGTTGTCGTTCTCGCCGCAGCTGAGATTCAGATTGTCGCCGTCTGTGTTGCTGCCCATAGTCAATCCGGATTGTCGCTCGCTGCCGCCGGAGGATCAGGCAAGGTTTCTGCCTGTAACGCAAACACGAGAGAGAGGCTTATTACTACGTCGCGAGTCGCGTGAGAGCACTCCGGCAGGAGGTACGACCAAGTATCGTAGCGTTTCTCGTACATCTTACGACAATAGCGCAGTAGCAAAGGACTATATAGTATACAGCAAGGATAGTTCGGGGATTCTGAATCGAACAGAAGGTCCACACTGTCCCGAGAACTTTCAATTGGAGAAACTTCTACACGCGCCGTAGCGACACCCAGCTCTCTTACACCTAACACAAATCGATCAAAGGGACACATGGCAATGCCTTGACTGAGCCTTAAGCTCAGTCAGCTATCTGGCCGGGACGTAAACTATGCATTACGAACAGTCCTTGAGATTATGTAGCAATGATAACACAGGCTGCTCCATATGTGGAGAGCTATTCTAGAGAGTCTCTGAAAACACGAAGGAATTCTTTTTTTTTTTTTCTTTCTTATTTTGGATTGCGATTCGCCTCTCGTCCTAGTAGTTATTTATCTTTTATGCACTCCTTCTGAAAGCAGAGATGAGTTATGGATAGATTTTTTTTACAGCGTAACCGTTTTACTTTGCTCGCAAAACCTGCCAAGAGTCTGTCAAGAGAGATCTCGTTTATTATCGGGTTTTACTTTCTTTTACTTTATCTTTATTTTATTTTATTTTATTTTTTTTTTTTTTTTTGGTTATCTAGAAAAGTTTGTCACGCGAAGATAGTAGACCACTAAATACGAAATTTTACTTTCTCGTTATCATTTATAATTCTTAAAATTTTTTTTCTCGAGGTCTTTTTTTTTCGTGACGAGTCCTCCCGAGGGCTCGCGGCGCACACACTTACGTGACACCCTTTGTCCCTTCACTGACACACTTCACACGGTAGCACGCTCGGGGGATCGTCCGATACGATCTCACGTCACGCACTACACGCACGTTCCAAATATCTTACGGACGCGCGAATCGCGAGAGAGATCCGAGAGGATCACAGCGGTAAACAATTGTTCGCGCGAGCAAATCGTTGTAGTACACAAACTACGGCGTTCATTGTGTGACGTATGTACTACGCGACCGCAAGGACGTGTTCTCGGGTTCTGCGAATCAATAGAGAGCTCTGTTCCGTATTATAGTTGCACTTATTATACACCTTCAGCATTCAAAATAAGATAGATATATATTTAGGCATTGGAGGGAAAAGGAGAAAAGACGAAAGGTGTACAGAAAAAGCGCAGCTACACAGGACAGAGCTAATAGACCATAGACATAGTAAAGAATAGATTGAGCGCGAATGTCTAAAATTCGCTGCGCGCGGATCTTTTTTCGCGCATGCGCACTAGTGAATTACTAGAAATACTGTATGCTGATTGGTATATTGTGATGTAGTTACTTATTAGATTGATCTAGTAATATAAATTGCTGTATGCTGCAGTTCTAGTAATTTATTAACTCATGCGATCTGGGATGAAAAATTGCACCGTGTGTCGTAGGTTTAAATACGGTCAAATATGGCAGCGATGTATGTTTCAAGCAAATGTCAAAAAATTATTATTGAGTTTAAGTTAGGATAAACTAATTCTTAAGAATATGTCATTAAAGGTAATTTGTACATCTCGTTATATAAGTATGTTATTTAGATATATTATAATTTATAAACATATTTATGCGTATGTTTTTATATCTCAATTATCTTTAAATTTGCTTAATAATCATCTATATTTATTTATAATTCAATAATATTCGTGTAAATTCACGTTTATTTATTAGTACATATTTTCTCATATCTTCTTTTCATTATTTTTTAAATTTAAGCTTATTTCTATATGTATTCTTTCTTATATATTCTTATAATTGTCAGCACAAAAACGAGTATCGCAGGTCTATCGATGACTATCAGCCTGCAACGCCTGTCAGACGCAAGATTGGTCTGTACTGGATTTTAGCTATGCTAAGGATTGCTCTGACTTTTGCTCCACAGACAGGCTACATTCATCCTGATGAATTCTTTCAATCTATCGAAGTTATCTCCGGTATGTCACTGTTTTGTCGTGTTCTAATATTTGTTTTCCAACACGTTTTTATTTCCTTCAAACAGGAGATCACTTCGACATCGATGTTTATAAGCCATGGGAATTCAATGCCACATTTCCTATACGCACCGCATTCATTCCTCAGCTCGTAGTTGGTTTGCCTTATGCAGTTCTCAAGAGATTGTCTTCGTATACATTTCATTTCTTTGGATTATCATTGAAGGGACCATATTTTTTCGTGCTCTTTCCGCGACTCTTCATGTGCGCACTGTCATTCCTGTCGGATTATTTTTTGTACAAGATATGCTGTATGTATGGGCAGAACTACAGAGTCAGACTAATCACATATGCCAGTTCCTATATTATGTTGACTTACGCCACTCGTACATTATCCAACTCTATCGAACTGGTGCTGACTGCTGCATTGTTATACTTTGCTTCCCAGTGCATGGCATATTCGGAGAAGGTATGTCTAGTTTCCCTCCAAAAAGATTATGCAACGAATAGAAGCGATCGACATATCAAAAAAAGAATTCATCGAATCTAGTTTCACAGGACAAATTTTTTCCTTGTATAATTAAATAATTAAGAACTCTTCACATTTTGTTTTCTGTCATTATTTATGCATATTTTTGTTTTAACAATTTTATTGTACCACAGGTGGTACTCCAGAGCGATTATCTTTCGAAAAAGTATAAAGAAGCGACAACAGGAGTGGAGCGTGTCAAGTACTATAAACTCAGGGCTATGTTACCCTCGCATTCGCTGAACCATTGCTTCGTACTAGCCACGATAACGGTAATAGGAATATTCAACAGACCGACTTTCGTTGCGTTTGCATTCGCTCCCATCTTCTTCTGGCTGCAAAGAGGCCTGGGTTCCAAAAGCATTGGCTTCAAAGATTTCCATATCAGAATATTTGTTTTAATTCTCTGCGGATTACCGGTCACGCTGCTATTCATCCTAATCGATAGCTTCTATTTCGGATATCTGACGATGGGAGAGATAGGCCAATTGAAGATCGGGATAAACAATTTTGTGGTGACGCCGATCAATTTCTTCAAATATAACGCGAATACGAAGAACTTGGAGGTACATGGACTGCATCCTCGTCTTTTGCACTTTTTCGTAAACGTTCCGCTACTGTTTAGCGTTCTCGGCATCGTCGGATTGCTGACGTTTGTGAAAATGGTATACAGGTCAGTCATATATATACGAAAACTACGTTTTTTGCATAGTGAAATAAACTAATAATATTCGTTTCTAGCGGATTGAAGGCGCAATGGCTACATCTGCCACGTCTGCAGAGCATCGTAGGGTTGATGACCTCCACGTTCATCATTCCGATCGCCTTGCTGTCTCTGTTTCCCCATCAAGAACCTCGTTTTATAATCCCGGTACTTTTCCCGCTGGTATTCCTTCATGCGCCCGAGTTAAGTCAAGTCCCCTGTCTGGATATCGTCCGAAGATTCGACGATAACGGCGATGAATCTGCTGCCGAACCTCCACACAGATGCAAATCCAGAAAGTTAACGATTTGGTACGTCAGCAATCTGTTGCTGGCTTTCTTCTACGCTTTCGCGCATCAGGGTGGGGTTTTCCCGCTGACATCCCACATCACAACGGAATTGAGGGCTAAACCGCATCTCACGCATGTGCATTTATACACTTCATACAGTTACTCGCTGCCTACAGCACTGCTACAGCTTCGCAATACTCGCAGAGTCTATCGTAGCAGCAGTAATCATAAATATAAGTTGACACAGGATTTCCACCTGTATGAGCAGGGCTCTAAGCCCTTGCCACAGGTGTTCGATAGCATCGCCAGGAAAATTAGAGACTGTGAAGAGAAATTCGTCCTCAAGAGGATACCTTATAGACTGTATTACGCGTTACCGGCCTCTGCGATAAGTGAGTTTGTGGAATTGTCGAACAACAAATCGAACTTGTTTAGATTTCACATAGTTAAGACTTTCTATCCCCACATCTCCGTGGAGAGATTACCATCTTTGCGATCGCTCGACAGATTGGAAAATTTGTTAAGTTTGCAGAGCGATGATATTTTTGGTAGCTTTATCGAAGTTACAAAGGATGTTTATGAATACGTCGAGCAGTTTAGATTGCTATTGTTAAAAATCGAATATTTTCTTCCTGAGTTGAAGCAAAGTAAGTACAATGAGCAAATTAAAGAAATAATTAATAATGATTGAATAAATAAAAAAGATAGAAATAATATATCCAGACTTTTACTTCTATAAGCTAATAATAATATAAATAATAATAACAAAATAATAAAAACTAGTCAAAGAGAAAAAAAGAACTTAAAATGTGATTGACTGTTAAAAGATTTATATAAAGAATATTATATACAATATATGTAGCTTAAGCAATATAGTAAAGATATAAATTTCAATTCAAACAGCTGTTTTATATGCGCGTGTATACGAGGAGATCATTAAAGATTTAGAAATTTACGAGAAATTAATAAATAAATAATGAGAATACAAGTTTTATATGCATTTTTATTTATTGTTATTCATGTCTGCTTATTTCTTTAACTTTTCAACAAAAGAGATTATCTTTGTAAATATAAATCATCATTTTATTAAAGCAAACTTATATATTTCTCAGCATCCAAACTTTCTTTGATTAATATAAAAGGATAAATCTCTTTAGATTAATTTGGAAGAATGGATTTCTGTTGATTAATTTGAAAAAAATGAACTTTTGGTTAAAAGTTAAATCAAAAAGAATGAAATCATTAATCTATCTCTTTCGAGAAAATATTGTGTAATATAACATATTAAAAATACAAAATATATTGTTGTTTAATTGCACTCTCTCTTCATATATGTAATAATATTCATACTCTTCGAAGTATTACAGAAATTTTTATGAACAAAAATTAATTCTTCTGATATAATTTTTTATCTATGACACTCTTATTCTCTTACACATATATTCTATGTTCTGTCCCATAAAAAAGAGAGAATGACTGATTATCAAATGCATAGACTGAGAGCATTCTCTTATGTGTGGACAGAATATATATATATATACATATAGAAAAATATAATACATACAGTGTACCAGAAAAATCTCAGTAAAGGATATTATATATTTAGTGAATTAAACGGTTAAATTATTTACATGGAAAAAGCGGATTACTTTTTAAAGAATTCTTTTTTAATTCGCTGAATCCCTGAACTTTCAGAACACTATATGTAATCCTACAATTGAGAATCAGCACGAGGTATTTTTATTTTATTATAGATAAAATATATTTTTTAACAAATAATAATAATAAATTAATTCGGTGTGTTACTAACATTTTTACAGCTTATTTTTAGCAATCCTAATGTCCCAATTCTTTTTTATAACAGAACACTATTTTTGTAAATTATGAAAAATTTCATGATTTAATTCCTTTAAGACGAGATATATCTATCATCGACAAAGATTAATATACAGTAGGAAATATTACTTTTGAAAAATGTTTGAGCATTCTAATATTTAACTTAAAAAATTGTCAAAATTAATTTTTATGCCTATAAAAAACTTCAGATTTAATTTATCCAAAACTATGAAAATAAATATGTAAATAATTGGAAGTAATTATATATATGTAGACTTTAATTACATTATGGCGCAATAATTTTTTGTGTAATTTTTTTGTGTGGTTTATTAAATTATAGAATATATTAAATTATAGAATTATATACTGATCATCTTCCGAATTTTTATCTAATCGCAAATTTCAGAGAATTTTTTTATTGTTTTATTGATTTTATTTTTTTTAATTAACTTATTATTAATTAAAATGCATTTATATGTCATTTTCGTTATAAGTCCAAGGAAGCTGTGCATTGAACTTGCTTTGATGAGCCGCGTTTCTTGCCGCGTATAATCGCTGGAAATGTATTAATCAGCTATATAAAAATATTATTTACAAAGTAATCAATTTTAATTTAAAAGACTTTTTAGTCTATCTGATTGTACTATCCTGAATTATTCTATTCGAGGAAATCATTTTCTTAACTTTTTAAGAAGAGATACTTACAGGGTTATCGATATAGGCTTCACAACCATAGCACCAAACGGAGATGTCACTGAAACTGAGCGTGATGGGATGCTCGCACTCCTCTGCGTGTTGCATCGCGTGCTGATTGACACTACGAGCACAATGTACGGTGTAACATTGCAGGCAGATCCAATTCTCCGCAGTACTGGCGCACTCCATGCAAGGTAAAGTTACATCGATTCCACCAGGGGGAACCTCATTGACTGTGAACAGGTGAGGACAATCTCGCAGAGGTATCACCGCGAACATTTCTTCCGCTGTCAGAGCCTGCGCAGCGAAGAATATTGTCATTTATTTATTTATGTGCATTTTATACATAAAATAATAATTATATATCTATTTTCATAAAAATTGATTTTCACGTGAAAAAGACATCTTGTATGACGACACGCGTTAAATCATTACCTGAAAATTTTCAGAGAGATATTGCCTAAGAGATCCCAATGGTGTGTTATGTATTTGAGAGATCGCGTTTTCGTTATCACGATTCTCGCGTGTACGAGAACCTCCTTGCTGGCTGTCTCTCGATTGGTTCGTTTTATTTAAGCATTTTTGTATACTTTGCGAAACTGAAAGTCAAATGCATGTCATTTATCTTACGATTGGATACAATAATTATTCATAAAGTTAATTAAATTGCGAATTTAATTATATCTATACCATCCAACTTTTTCACTTCGTTTTTTTTTAATCCAGGATTTCTCCTAGTCTCATCCGTTGCGCTTCTCGTCGGGCGTAATTCAGAGTTCTTAATTTTAATATTCTCCACTTCATTTGTTAATTTCAGAATTTCTTCATCTGTCACTAGATTCAAACAATTCTTATCGATCTCCAAGTTCAATTCCAATTTCTCGCTTTCGATTACTTCTAAGGCGATTTTCGATTCCGTTTGTTTCGGTTTTTCTGTAATTCTTCCTTGTTCGTCAAGCTTATTCAGAGTTTTCTTGAGCTTGGGAAGTAGCTTTTCTTTTGGCAAGGACATTCCATATTGCAGATTAGACCAGAATTTCTTATGAGTCTTTAGCACATTGTTGATGGAATTGACCGCGCTAGCGCAGGGGATCAAACCGGGATCCAGCATGGGCAGGGGATCGCCCAAGAGAGCCTTGGTGCACATGGTCATTGCATGAGAAATGGAATTGATGTTGTAGCCTCCTTCAAGACTGAGGATTATGCGACCATTGGCCAGGGACGAGAGCCAATGGATCAAATGGCCGTAGAGCTCTGGACTTACCAAGCAACCTTACAAAATAAAAACAATTCATTAGAAATGAAAAATATTATAAGTAAATATTTTTGGGGTATATATGTTCTTTTATTAAATTTTTTAGATGTTCTATTAAAAAATTGCAAATATTCAATAATTACTGTTTGCATTAAGATACATTTACCTCCAAGTGGATCACCCACGCAAGCATCAAATCCAGCAGAAACCAAAATCAGCTCTGGATTAAATTGATAAGCAATGGGCATCACGATTTGCTGGAAAGCTGCTATGTATTCAGCATCTCCCATCCCTTTCTGAAAATATAATAAATAAAAATGTATATAATTTTATAGATATAATTTTTATTACGCGTTTATTCTCTATTAGAATGTAAATCTTTACAAGATAAAACGTGAAATAATTGTTTGAAATATTATTTGAAACAATATATGATCAGTTGGTTATTTATTTACTTTGTTCCACGGTATGTTTACATTGAATCCTTCGCCTGCGTTTAAACCAACGTTCGTATAATTAGCTCTTTTGGAATTTGGAAAGAAGCTTCCGTTATCATAACGATGAACAGAAATATAAAGAATTTTTGGATCTTCTTCAAAGATAGATTGTGTTCCATTACCGTGATGCACATCCCAATCCACTATCAACACTCTATAACACACATGTATTAAATTTTTAAAATACATGTTATAATATTGCCAGATAATTCACGATCATTCAAAAAATTGAACTGGATAGTGTACCTCTTTATATGATGAAATTGTACGGCGTATTGTGCAGCTATAGCCACATTGTTAAAAATACAAAAACCGCATGCAATATCTTCCTCAGCATGGTGTCCCGGTGGTCTCACAATGGCTATTCCGGATTGATCTTCCCCATTTAAAACCGCGTCTACCATTTGTAAAAGACAACCGGCGGACACGCAGGCGCTGGACCACGTTTCGGTGTGAAGATAAACGGAATTATAATCCGACGCTTGCTTCTGCAATTCTTTAGGTTTTAAAGTCGATGTCCTATTGATGCTGTCGATGTAGTCTTCTGAATGAGCCAAGGATAATTCTTCTATTGTTGCACTCCTTCCCTTTGTGTGTGGGAAAAAGAAATAATCATATTTTTTTTTCTTTTTTCTGTAACTTGTTTTGAGTTAAATAAAAAGTTATATATATATTTCAGACGTCTTTTATATATCATATGTGTTTTAATATTTAAATCTTTATTAATAAATAATAAATTTGATCTTTTCATCTTTAACAGTCTCTAGTGTTTCATAAGAAATAATAAAAAATCCAGCAAACATCAATAAAATAAAAGTTAATAACAAGTCTACTTGAATGAAACAATTGTTATAATTATTAACAAAGTATTAAAATTAATATCAATAGATGGTAAGAACGTTTCATATTAAGTGTGTTTTTTGTACAATAAGTAATAAACAAAATGTATACTCTGATCTTTTTATCTAAATATTTTTATCCGATTTTCTCCAAATAGTGCAATTTTTTAATACTTACATAGTATCAATTCATTCAATTTCTTATCCATGATTTCCAAAATTTCTTTGCTTTGTGTAGGATAGCAATTCCGTGTTTCATACTTGTCTGGTTTAAAAATGCTACCTCTGAAATAACGACAAGATGCTAATATATTTAAATAAATATAATTTATAATAAAATTCACATACACACAAAATTTATATATATAATATCAAGTTCTTTAAAAAAATTATATTATATATATTATGTAATAATATATATATATATTATGTAATAATATATATATTACAAAATAACAAATTAATTTCTTACTTGTATGTAACCATAACTGCATGTCTATTAGCAAGTTCCTCCTCATAAGCTACTTGGGTATTGATATACATATCTTGGTACTGATAACATTTCCAATATGGTTTGTGTGCATAGATTACATTCAGAATAGTGTCACGTATACTGGAACAATAAATAGCTTTGTAAAGAACATATTATTAATATTGCAACAACAAATAATAGATAACAATATATAGTCCCAAGACTTATTAATATTAAAAACAATATCAATATTATTAATTTATATACAATAATAAATTTAAAATTAAAAAAGTTATAAAATATATATATATTTTCATTGCTTACCTTGATGATGGCAAGTCAAGTGTTTGTAAAATAGGACATGGATCACCCAGTAAAGTTCTTAAAGTCAGTGCTGCACCCTCTGCTAAAGATTTTAAGCAATAACCACCCTATATATTAAAACATTATATTTAATATATAAATATATTTAAATGACATAAATAAAATACAAACATATATATTAAAGAAAAAAAGTATTTTTTTACCTCTAAAACTACGGCGACTTTTCCAGCTGCTAGACTTAATAACGATGATAGTAAATGAGAATAACACGCTGGGGTTACTAACATCTCACCCTATATAATAATGTAATATATTCATTATCAATTTATTATTGATTTATATAAGAATTTAATATAACAAACACAAACAATATATCTTAAAAAATAATTTTATATAAGTAAAATTATAAGAGAGACGAAATCAGGTTCTATATATTATAAATATTTCTTTCTAATAAAAAAATAATTTAAATACATAATATATAACACTTACATTCACTAACAAAAATAATAAAACAGATATATTCATTAATAATTTGTGATTTATATTAAATAAAAATGCCATTATAATAAGAAATAATTAATTTCTTGTGATGAATAATACATGCATGACCAATATAAAATAATAGAAAATTTTTTAACCTTCTCGTCACCGATTGCGGCATCGAATCCAGCGGAAATAAGGATGAGGTCTGGAGAGAACTGAGAAAAAAATGAGAATAATAAAAAAACATGCATAAATTTACCTCTGGACAACCTAGAGCTGCATCATAACCAGCTGATACTATTATAAGATCTGGTTGAAACTATAACAATATTGATACTTCCATTAAAAATTAATTTGCACATTAATCAAATATACTAATAAAATAAATGTTATAATACGTACTTCATAAGCCATTGGCAATAGAACTTGCTGGAAGATCGCAATGTAATCAGCATTGGTCATGCCAGTCTTATTTAAGGGTACATTAAAGTTGTAACCCTCTCCGAGATCCTCTCCAATATAATGAAAATTAGATTCCTTCAAATTAGGCCAGAATCCGCCGTGTTCATAACGATGTATTGAAAAATAAACTACACTGTAAACAAATTTGAAAACAATTAAAATTACATTATTATAAATTAATTATTAAATTAATCCCAGCAAAATATTTAATATATATTAAAAATAATTTAAAACAAAAATTTAAAAGGGGAAGACGAAAAAGATACCGTGGATCATTGTAAAACATTTGCTGCGTTGCTTGTCCATGATGAACATCCCAATCTACAATTAAAATTCTATTGGCCAAATTACTGCTCAAAGCTTTCTCTGCTGCAAGAGCCACATTGTTGAAAAAACAATAACCACAATATTCTGATTTCATGGCATGATGACCTGGTGGTCTAAATGAATTTATGTTAATATTAAAATTTATTATCTAATAATAATATTATATGCATCATTCATGTAAAATAAAATAAAATAAGATTAATAAATTAAATCTAAGATTACATTGTATATCAATGTTTCTTGGTAAAATGACTGAATAAATCTAATAAAATTAAAGATCGACAAGATCATTTCATCAAGAAATATTTCTAACTTACCTAATAATAGCCATACCATTTTGAATCTCGCCTTTACAGATACTTTCCACCAAATTCATCGTTGAGCCCACAGCTAGTAAAGATAATTTATATGTAGACTGTAAATAAAATAAATTTATAGATATATTCAATATAACAATTTTATATGTTTACATATATGTATAAAAGAAAAATATTCTTTCATTTAAAATATAATCTCACTATTAATTAATGTTATCATTATTTTCTTTTACTAGCATTTAAAACAAAATTATGTCTATACATACTGGATGAACGAAGATAGCATCGTACTTAGAGGAGAGCAATTCCAAATTCTCAGAATCTGCACAGCCATCTGTCGCTTTCAGGATATCAATTTGTTTTTGGCTGTGCTTTGTCAGAATCTCACTCTCTGTAGCCAGTCTTGCTTCGATGAGCTTACATCTTTGCACCAAACCCAGTTCTTCACACCTCTGCAAAACTTGTGTAAATCTAGCAGGGCATTCGGGGTAATTTGAATCCCAGAGACATTCATGCTCTGCCATACTTCGATCAAATACAAGACCAGTCTCCTTTCGCACTATTTTATATGCATCAATTGCATTTTGATATATGTCTCGTATAAAACTGTTATTGGACTTCTTGCCGAACAGCAGCTGTCGTTGCGCTGCCTCTCGTTTGGCCGCCAATAGTGCAGCTGATGGACGAACCTATAATGTCAAAAAATATCATATATTATATGGATTTTAAATGTTGTGAGATTTGATTAGAGAAAGATTGCTAAGTTATATTATGATCTATGCAAATATATATATATATATATATATATTTTTTAATAAACTTTTACACACAATTTTTAGCAATATAATAAATTGTTAATAATATTTACATTTTTTGATTTTCCAGTCTTCCTTGTTTTCTTAACACTTTCAAACATATTTGTAGCAGTTTCTTCACACTTGCTGGAACTTTCAATCACTTTTATTAGCTCAATTTCACTGTCTGCTAATTGTTTAGCAGCAGTGAATAAATCCGATCTCACTGTAGGTTCAGTCTGTAAAATTATAATGTTTTTTATAAGATTTTGAGCATGAATATATAGGCGATATGAGCAAATACAAGTAGACAGATGTTCTGAAGATATATTATTTAAATTACCGATAGACCTGATATTATTTACATTATTTGCAATAATCATATTATTTAATATATTTTTATTAATGTTTTTTTTTTGTATATATTATAATTAATGTAAGTATATATTATGTGTGAGTATATTAGTAGCATAAAAATTTCAAAACTAGTGCAAAAGCAAGATTAAATTACAAAAGAACAGAAAGATTAGAAAAAACAAAAAAAATTGGACTTGTTCTAATTTTGCAATTTTTATGAAAAAAAAGAGAATTTTATAAAGATCATTTATTTGACTAAGGAATTCTGAAATTTTGGATCAATGCAAATCAATCGACAGAGACAAATTCTAACAAATGCAAAACAATAGAAAAAGAATAGCATTCTCTGCAATTTTTGTTTCAGGAAAATACGCATTTTCCAAGCTCACCTTTAATCTGTAATGTCAAGATCTGTAATAGTAATGCATACATGTAAAGCTTAATATAGCAAAGTTATTCGTTATGTAGGCGGTGCAATCTGTCCTTTTATAGACATACCTCTTCCCTCAGACATATTATCGCTTCATTTTCAAAGACTAATGATAAGATAACACTGCACAAAGATATGTAGAGATAATTAACAATGATTACTCTTACCATTTGCTGTAATTAGGAAGATCTAATAAATGTTAAAATCAAATGCTATAGGCAAACATTAACTCATCACAAGCGATGCAAATTACTATTCACTTAATTAATTTTTTTCCCAGAAATTCAGCCAAGAGATTCAAAGAATAAAACTTTTGATTTATTCACATTGTCTTATCTGCCTTTTTTCATTTTTTTTCAGTTTCACCTTCAATTTCGTGTTTATCTCTGACGAAAAACAACTATAGCGTATAACAATGTCATAAAGTGACAATTGCATGATGGAGGGAAACAAGATGTAAATTTTACGTTTGTCATACGACTAACTATTTGTCGGATGAACCAATTAACTATCTAGCCTAGAGAATTTTTAGGGTTCTAAAAGTTGCAATAGCAGCCAATCAACGCAGAGCTTGTCATGTAATAAAATCATCTTAGCTGCACAGCAATATATACTCCATAGTCTATGGTCTACATATATTAAATGTTTATAGCCATGTGTAATTTAATTCAATACAATTTTTGTACGGTTCCAGTATTATAAAAACAAATTATCGAATAAAAACGAAGTTTTTATTTTTTGGTGTGCAAAATGTTTTGTCCGAAACTTCGCATGTCGATCAAGCTCAGAAACGTCATAGGTTATGTCAATGACTTCAATCACATGATCACATTCAATAAACAACGTATGTAAAAAGAATAAATAATTAATATCAATTATGATTCTGCTTTATAGTTTGTCAAATAGTTCGATATTTTCTATTTTATTATATTTTCAAAAAATAAATTAAGCTACTTTACATCTCGTATATTTTCATAAATAATTTATATATA